ATTATTGTTACATAATTACTACAATTATTGTAACTTAATTTTCCGTAAATTCGATAATTTTATTTACCCAATTCGTTATTTCAACTTTTACATCTGGCAACACTGCTATTCACACACAACTGTTTATGTTATTTTTTGTCTTCTTGCATGTTTGGTTTATAAAGATTATAAAGTTTATATAAGATAAATAAATCTTACGCCTTTTTCGATGGTTGTTTATGATTTGTCTGCTATGAGAAAATGAGGTTGCTTGTTTAAACTTACGGAAATGTTCTTATTCTTTTTTAATTTAGTTTTTGAGACAATAAAAGAATTCTTAGTATTTTCTTTTTGCAACATTGTGAAATGCTTATATAAACATTGTGAAATGCTTTTATAAACATTTAGCGAATACGGTAAGACATGCAATTGGAAAAAATAACTTAGCTTGATTATTTGGTGCTGAAATTGATCCATTTGGTATGCCGCTCGCAGTAAATTTCGTGGAACTGATCGTCTCTCTCACACCTTTTAACCAGGTCCAACACTTGAGGATTTAATCCAGCGGGAGGTACCACACACAATTTGCACTCTTTTGCACTTGGGACAGTTATCACGTTTAGAATCGATTGATTTTTTATTATTTTACGGCGTTAACCAGTTATCACGTTACTACGTTTGTATCGTATACGCTGCTTAAGAGAGATCTCGATGAGCATATGCTTACACTTCAAGCGTCAAGAGCAGACTAACGAATAGATTTGTCGACAAATAGAAATTAATGGTCAGTATTAACTTTACTAAATTTAGCTTACAACTTACAATTATGTCAACAATTGTAACTTTAACAGTTAGCTGTCTAATAATTTTAAAGGTAGGTAAATCTACCATATAAAAAAATATACTAGCCTTAATATACATTAAAATGTATAGTTTAAAAAAGCAGGTCCTTTTAGTTCTGATTTTAATATTTTTTGTTTGTCTTTTCTTTTTTTCGGTTATTTTTATTAAATAAAAACATATCAGTAGAACATTATTCACATAACGAACGTAATATTTTCGTTTTACAATCTTATTAAAAAAATATTAAAATATTTGAAAATAAATTATCTTAAAATAACGTTAGGCAGTGGCGTAACTACCACCGGTCCTACCGGTTTCAGAGACCGGGGCCCCGAGCACCAGGGGGCCCCAGGAAGTGGCAAGAGAATTTTTTATCTAAATATAAGAAAAATGTTCAATATAAAAAAATAATTTTTTTCTAGTAATAAATATTTTTGCCTGCTTGATATTATATTTCAATTGTGTTCTTTTTTTTTAATTTCTGAACTCAAAATTTGGAATTAAATATTTTAAAATAAACCTAGGTTAATTGTGAATTTAAAATTACAAATCTAGAATTATAACCTCGAAATCGAATACTTCACATCGAAAGTCTGAAATTTTTAATAGGAAATATACATTCTTAGTCAAAAATAGAAATTCAGAGATGAAAAAATAAAAATGAAAAATTTAAAATCTAAGAAAATTTTCGATTTCACATTTATAATTTTGGATAAAAAAATCAAGATTCAAACTCAAATTCGAAATCTTATTTATAATATAGCATAAATTAGTAGTACTATAAATTAATATAGCATACATATAGGTTTGCAGTTTGAAATATTGGAATAAAAATACGTAGATCTGATTTGAGCATTATACCATAAAAATAAAATGTTTTACGTGAATAACACTTGATCCTTTTTTTTTCAACATCATTTTTATCCGTACCTCGAAATCCTGAGCCATGAATATTTCTGTGGTAAGGGCCCCCTAGTGAAAATCCGACTGGGGCCCCCATTTCTATAGTTACGCCACTGACGTTAGGCGTCAAAAAGTTGTGTAGTGAGGGATAAGTAAAAATTATTTTAACTTTCTCCGTCAGACGTACGAATTTAAAACTTGACGGACCGATAAAATGTCATAATATTCGAATTATAAAAGGACCAATAGAGCGCTCCCGGACACAGTGATCCTGAACGAGTCATAGGTCACATAAAAATGACGCCAAAAACTGACGGCAGTATTGGAATAAGGATGTCCTTTGAAGTTTAAAAATCTGATTTTCAAAAGTGTATCTTTAAAACAGAGGCCTTTGGAAAAAATGTTTGAATAGGAAAATAAAGGTGACTTAATTATCTATTAAATCATGCCTCCATAATTATGCCTAAACTATTGGCCTACGAAATCCATGGACGTAGTCGTGAATTTTTTTTATGTTTAACTGGGTATGTTACGTTTTTTGTGAATAACCTGACATAGGTTAATTTCAACATTGCAGCATCATTTTTCTTTAAAGAAATATAACCTATATAAAACAAGAAAGACTAGTAAGTACTTGTCAAATATTATTTATTAATCAAGGTAATGTTATCAACATGAGAAAAAGCATTAAATACTTTTTGATGTAAACTCTACAACTGCACTTTTTAACGACTCTTTGAAGTTAGGATGTGCCATGTTGTTTATCTTGCATTTATTACAAATATTTTATAAACTCGCGGTGGACATTCTTCCAAGTGATTAATTAGTACATGAATTTTTAAAGTTTCAGATATATCAGCAGCTTTAAACCTAATTACTAATGTTTGTTTGTGAATTTTTATTTAGTCGAAATTTGGCGTTTTGGTGGAAAAATAATTCTCAACTAATTTATCCATAGTCTTAAATTGGGACACTTATGGTAAAATGACCAAAACAGTTTGCAAATAGGTCACCTTGGTGGTTATTAGAGATCAAATTCAGTGTTTTAGGCCATCTCAACGCCTGTTCTTTTTCTAGAAGTTTTACTAGTCCGTCCCAAAATACTTAAACAAAAGTGTTGCCTGGCAAAGCTGATGGCTAGCTAGATTCCTTTATTCCTTGTTGGCAATTTAATGTAAGCCACTGATAGTAGTATTATTGCGTAAGCGAATACCTCAACTGAACATACATTACTTAGGTACTATTTAGGGGGCCTCAAACCGCGCAAGGCCGTAAATTCAACTTTCGGCCCTTGTAGTGTAATATACTATTTAACCAAAATTCTACACCTTTCAAAAATGGCGGATGCACCGGGATTACTTTTTTTCTTTGTAATTCCATTTATTATTGTTATAGTTAATAATAATAATAATAATATTTATTTAGCAAAAGCTACATAGGAAATACAAAGTAAATTATAAATAAAATTAATAAAATAAAATAGACAAGTGGATAAATTTACATTTTAAAAAAACAAAACAACCGTAACGGCTTGCCTATAAGCTGAATGGCGCCTTTACGGTTATAACAATACATTTTTTATCATCGACCCTCCTTGCGAAATCTATGTAGACCCATGCTTAAACAATTTGTGCAAAAAAAAATACAGTTTATATACAAAAATGCTCTTTTAGTTCCACCCTTACTTCGTAAGAAGTCCCTTAAGCCAACTGAATGGCTTGTGCGGGTTAGGGGTAGGAACGGACCGCGGGCTTAAAGTCCCCTCCGAAGGACTAATACACAATAAAAAAAACTATATCGTGCGGCAGTGTAAATATTTAAAATACATCATTGACTACTCAAACATAATTTTACATTTTAAATTATCATTTTGTATTCGTTTACTCGCATCTACTAGGTATAAACGCATACGGCAGTGTAGTAGCTATTCGATGGCTAGACCGTGCGGCATTCAAATATGAAAAACTTCCCTTCTACATGTCGGGCCCACTCTAAATTTTTTTTTTATTCAAAGGTAACATAATAAACTTGGATTTTATGCTATTTTAAAAAAAATTAAAAAATACACATTGTTTCAAAAAATGCAAAATTTTGCAAAATTTCAAAAAAAATTGCAATTTTTGTTTTTTTGCAAAAACGGTATAGCCCATTGAAAAGTACGGAAAAAATCATTTAAGGTGGTTAAATTGAAATATTTAATAAAGATATAAACAGAAGTTATGAATTTTTAAATAAAAAGCGTTTTCACCAAAAAGTAAAAAATCGATAAATTTCAATAATCCATAACTCTTGAATGAACAATCCTAGAGCAAAAAAAATTTATGCTATGATTCTTCGTTATAAGAACAACAAATAAGTAAAGTTTAAACAAAATCGGTGACAAATTTTTTTTCACCTGGTACACTTGGCAAATTTTGCCCCATATATGAAATATTCTTTTTATGATGCCTGGGTTAACCAAAAAGCGGACATTTGATTATGCCAGGAATATTCCTGGGAATATTCTGGGACGCTTGGAATATTCCTGGGAATATTCCTGACGTGCAGGGAATGTGATTTTGCAGTCTGGGTAATAATTCCATTTTAATATTGTTCCTAAAGCTCTATTTTGTACCACTTGGAACTTTTGTATCATATAATTGGGTAAATTGTACAGAATGGAGCAGAACTCAAGATGCGGTGATGCTACACTGTTGTACAATATCAATTTTGTATGCATCGTTAAGTGCTTGTATTTTTTTAAATTAAATTATTCAACAAGATTTCTGATATGTTGCATTAATTTTTGACCATTTTATTGCTTTTTATTTACTTAAGTTTAAAAAAATCATTACATGAAATATCTTTTAGGTGCAATTTAATAAAGTTTTATTAAAGTATGTATTTCTATTATAAATTCAATTTGAATTCAGTTTATTTAGGTCAAAATAAAAGCATTAATTTCGATTTAGCGAAAATAAAATTTATAGTAAATATAAACATTTTTTTGTATTATTTAAGCAATAAGTTTTGTAATAAAAATTATTCATTTATTTGTATCTATATAGGTATATAAAATATTTAAATTATTTAAAATGAAATACGAGCAAAATATGTTTTTGCGTATTTATTTTTAAATACCCATATACATGCGGTTGCAATTAAAAGTGTACATATTAGTTATAAAATATAGAATACAAAACAAAACGTGGATTTCATAAATTGTTTTTTATGTAAAGTTGTTTATGCTTAGATTCTAGATTTATATTTATTTTATTTAACATTTTTTGTTGCAGAGTTTGGCATTGATGGTGTTCCCGTTTATCCCGGCATCGAACCTATTTTTTCCAGTGGGCTTCGTAGTAGCAGAAAGGGTTTTATACATGCCATCTATGGGATTTTGCATGTTAGTAGCCTACGGTTGGCATGCACTATACAGAAAAATCAGCAAGCCGTTGGCATGTTTTGGTCTTTTGATATTGTTGGCATCCCATGGTAGTAAGACTTACATAAGAAACTGGGACTGGGAGAATGAGTATTCGATATTCATGTCCGGTTTAAAAGTCAACCAACGAAACGCCAAGTTATTCAATAACGTTGGACATGCTTTAGAGAGTCAAAACAAATATCAGGACGCTTTATTATTTTTTCAAACAGCCGTAAAAGTTCAAGAAGACGATATAGGTGCACATATAAACGTCGGTCGTACATACAATCATCTAAAAATGTTCAAAGAGGCTGAAGAGGCCTACCTAAAAGCCAAAAGCCTGCTACCAAAAGCCAAACCCGGCGAATCCTACCAAGCTAGAATCGCACCTAATCACCTCAACGTATTTTTAAACCTCGCAAACTTAATATCGAAAAATTCCACCAGGCTAGAAGAGGCCGACATGCTCTATAGGCAAGCTATAAGCATGAGGGCTGATTACACCCAGGCTTACATTAATAGAGGGGATATTTTGATAAAGTTGAACAGGACCAAAGAAGCTCAGGAGGTGTACGAAAGGGCTTTACTTTACGATAGCAACAACCCCGATATATATTATAATGTGAGTATTACCTAACTTATCTACCTATTTGTTGTTGTTTAGTTTATAGTTTGATACTTATTGAGCCTTAAGCTCTTAATGTGTTAATATTCAATAAGGAAACCATTTAATTACGTTAAGTTTTTGTTTGGAGTATTAAGTTGATGTGTAAATTAATTACTATCGCATTTGTACGACTTCAGTGTTAAGTTAAACCAATTTGTCTTATAAAACTAAATAAACTGTTTATATTGCAAAGTAATATAGTTTTATATCTTTTGATCCGAACATAAGAAAAAGTTAAAAAACTAATAAATCTTCGAGCTCGTATGGGCAGTACATGGTTTATCACTTAGACTTAAAACTTGGTATTTGCTTCGCAAAAAGCACAAGTAAGCGGGCGCATCTTAGAGAGTAGGTGCGAAATGTAAACCTCAACTTCATTTGAAGAAGTGCTAAATTTAAATTCCAAATTCGCAAACTTTAAACATCCTAAAAACGCTTTGAGAATCACCGATATTAATTAATGGAGTTTAAGAAGTTTTAAAACGATATGTTTTTATCATCAAATACTAAAGTCAAAATCCCCCAGCTATTTCTATGATAAAATTACTTTTCGGAAAGATATCCATAACATTAATATTAGAAGGAAAGATTTAATAACAATTCCATATCATATATGCAACAATATTTGAAAGGTCATTTAGTTTAACGATTGCCAAGCTTTATAACTGTTTACCTAATCATTTCAAAACCCTAAATTACGTAAAATATAAGAAGGAACTTTTTATTTTTTTGCGGGATAATTGGAATGTATTTGTTAGTTATCATTTTTGAGCTTAAACAATTGTATTCGTTTTATTCGTCTTCATTCCTGTTTTGGTTTTCTATTCTTGTCTTAATGTGACAACGTTTAGTTTTTTTTATTGATTTTTTTTGTATGTAATATTATTTATATTTATTATTTATTTGATTAACTGGGGAAATGTTGAAAACCGGGGGATGGAATTATTCTGTCTGTCTAAACACACCCTAGAGATTTTCCCATTTTTGTACGATTTGTTTATTTTAGTTTAGGCTATAATTTATAAGGTATAATGGTTAATTTTTGTATTTAAAAGTGGAAAATAAATTTATTATTATTATATGTTTATGAGTAAAGTTTACCTTTAATAATACTCTGCACTGTGTTATTATTTCATTATACACGGTGGAATAAAATAAATGTTTGTATTTTTTTTTTCATTTTTAGCTTGGCGTAGTTTTCTTAGAGCAAGGAAAGGCTTCGCAGGCTCTAGCTTATTTAGATAAGGCTCTAGAATTCGACCCCGAGCACGAGGCAGCTCTATTAAACTCGGCCATATTGCTGCAAGAGTTTGGTCGTCCAGAGCTACGTAAAATAGCTAAAGATCGCCTTTTAAAACTCCTAGATAAAGACCCTGAGAATGAGAGGGTGCATTTTAACTTGGGGATGTTAGCGATGGACGAGAAAAATATAGAAGAGGCCGAACATTGGTTTAGAAGGGCTGTGCATTTGAAAGCTGACTTTAGAAGTGCCCTATTTAATCTGGCTTTACTGCTAGCCGATGATCAGCGGCCTCTAGAGGCGGCCCCTTTTTTAAATCAGCTTGTTAAGTACCATTCCGATCATGTCAAGGGGTTGATACTGCTAGGGGATATTTATATTAATAGCATTAAGGACCTGGACGCGGCAGAGAATGTAAGTATTGTTTTAATTATTTATAAAACGATTTCTTGACATTTTATATGACATATAAATATATAAGATCCCTATTACATTGTGATAGGGATCTTTATACATATGTACTTATTTTTTATTAATAGGACGAATTTCATAACACTTATAATAAGAAACTCTTTCAAAAGAAAGTAATAAAATAAAGCATTAGTGAAAATCATGTTTGGAACTCGCCCTATAACCCATTCAAACGTCTTATTTTTATAGAGAATTAAATGATATTAAGAGTGGAGCGTGGCGTAATGCGGCTCATTGCATCAAGCCGAACCGTATTAGGTTATTTTCGAAACAAAGCGAATTTGACTGAGGCATTAGCATAATAACACGACGCGTTCTTAAGATGAAGGGCCTCGCCTAAAACGACGCATTAACATAAGCGTTAGGCTGTACACGGAACGTAAAAGCTTTCCACTATTTTTCAGACCAATTTCGCAATTTAGTTTTGCATGTACGGGCCCTTAATTTCGTTCGAAAAACGAACGATTTTCGCAAAGAAAGCGACAGTCCAAATAGTTTAGAAGAACAGTGATTCAAATATAAATTTTAGCTGAACAAAAGTTTTACTAGATAAACTTAAATAACGAGAATCAAGCTAAAGTTACAGCTGTTCATATAACGAGAAGCTAAAATAATATATTATTAAAAAACTCTAAGGTCTAAGATGATGTCAAGCTACTATAGTATAGTATACTACGATTTTTTTTAAGCTGAGGCACTGTGAGACAAAGAGCGGACACGCGACTGTTACAGCATTTTCGATTCATTAGTGTAAACTAAAGTAAAGTAAACAGAGTGTTCAGCAAATATATCCCTGCTCGTCTGCCTGCTGCCAGCCTGCTTGCCTTGTCTACTGGGTACTTTGCTGACGAACCTTTGCAGGAACTCGTTAGCCAGCATTTCGCTGCCTAAATTGAGATTAATTCACCTGCCTGCCTTCCCTTTAAGCGACTACTTTAAAATAGTTTAGAAAGCACTTTTTAGGACTTTATTAAATTTTCTTATGAAGTAAAAAATGCTAAATATCTGTTACAGTAGTCCAATTGAAATTTAATTAAACGAATTGTTTTCAAAATATACAGACACCAAGACGAACAGTGTACAAACAACTATTTGGAATAAGAATGAAATTAATATTGGCGTCAGTCATGTGTAAACGAAATGGGTTTCAAAATCGAATGAAGTAATTATTAGTTTCTGATGGCGACAACAGTTTCCAAAGTTTCACCGACCAATTTGACATTCTGATTGGAATCCAATATTCGATCGTGGACTATTCGTATCGGGAATGGTGGAGAGAGAATTATACGAATGCTCATTATGCCTTACGAACAGAGAGGGCCATTTCGATTTACATTCTCAAAAAAAAACCTAAACAATAAATATCGCAGTAATTTGTCAAATTAAAATTCATATTATTAAAAGCAAAAATACAGAATTTTTAATAACGTCAATTTAAAGAGCACAATTTTAATAGTATACATACCAAGTAAGCCAACAAAAAAAAACGGTTCTGAAATAAAATTTATAGAATTTAAAAATGTTTGTAAACAAAAAGTTATTTTACGGGTTTTTCACACTATGCAAGTCACTTAAAGGAGCAAAATTGTCAACAACCCTTTCCTGTTAAAAAATCTTGAAGCACTTTAAATTTATAAACAACTAGGACTAAACCAGATCTATTGCTTAATCTTAAACTTTGAACAAAACCCAACTTTCTCAGGCCCTTTTCCTTAAAATAAAACTTACAGATCGACCCTTTAATAATTTTGTATGATAAGTTGTCTATATTCTTTTATTTTTATATTGTTAGTTCCTCACCCCCAGTTGTTCCCCAAATATTTTATAAAAAACGACCTTGGTCATATTAATATAAAGAAGGAATTCCTTCTTTATTTAAATGCATTTAAATGTAAATGGCATAAATTCCTTAAATGTTTACAAAATTCGTAATTGTGCTAATTGTTTTTATAATAGTACTAAATTCTTTTGAGACTCACTGACGAAACGTTTATTGTATAGGTCTTATAAATCTAGATAACCAATTATAATTTTTTATTGGGAGAAATAAAGAACAAAACCAACATAAAATGTCTTAATTGAAAAAGTTATTTAGAGATAAATAATTTTATGAAATCTATATAATTTTATTAAAAACACCTTAAAAACTTGAACAATATTTGAGGGTATACCTACAAAATTACGACATTTTTAATAACCTCATCTTAAAGCACAATTTTATTGGCAAACTCTAAAAAATTTCAATAATATTTGGATTTGGATATTTGGTACAAATTTAATATTTAATAAAAATGTAGTAATTTTTGTAAAAGTTACAAAGCTTATAAATTTTTAAAAATATTGTTTTCTTTAATGCTTTATTACTTTTGGGGCATTCCACGTTACTCGGTAATTTTTGTCCCGCCCGTCACAATTAAAAATTGTGAGTAAAAACCACAAGTTATAAAACTAATATTTTATAATATTATTTTGTGCTTATAACTTATTAAAAGCATAATAAAACAATATTTTGAAATAAATTTTATAACGTGTAGTTTTTACTCACAATTTTTAATTGTGACGGGTGGGACAAAAATTCCCGAGTAACGTGGAATGACCCTTTTACAGTTTTCTTTGATTTCTAAAATTATAAGAGTAAACCAACAAAAAAAATTTTTAAAATACAATTTATAGAATTTAAAAATATTGGTGAACCAAAGTTATTTACATTTTATTTAAAGCATATACCTAATAATATTTGATGGTATACAAACAAATATACGCCATATTTTATAAAACGTCATTTTAAATAGCACAATTTTATGAGTATACCCAAAGATAATACAGTATTATCTTTGAGTATACCTACAATCCATTGTGAGTATACCTAACCTAAAAGGATTATGAAAATCAGACATTTAAAAAAATGTAAACATTAAAAGTTACAAAAATAGCGAATGCGCCGGGAAATTATCGCACTTAAATCGAATAATAATATGTTTGGATAAAGCATATTTTTGTTGTTATTCGTTTATTAAAATGCTTTTAAATTTGTTAAAATTATTGTTTTCCTTAATGCTTTATATATAATATAAACTTTTAAAGTTTTTTGATTGATATGCCTACATTTTTCAAAAACGGTTTTTGAAATACAACTCGAATACATGAAATAACTAATACCTACCTAATACTTTTGGCGGTCCCTCCCCATAAAGAATTAAAGATAAGTTCAATGTTTTACTTTCCGATATAAAAATGTAATATTTGGATCTATGTAAGATAAAATATTTAATAAATTGCATTAATTTTATACGTAGAATAGCCCGCAACATTTAAATTATTTGAATATTTGCGACCCGTAATTTAAACTTGCCAGCAATATAAGCTTATTGGTCTGAGGCATGCCTCGTGTGAATATACGCTTAGTTGCCGTATTTAACGATATCGCAGTTGTCTCACTCTAGTACAAAATACGGCCAAAGGAGACAAATAACGGTGTTCTTTGGCAGGAGAGGCAAGCACGCCCAAATATCTTTAAATCCCGCACTCAGTGTTGAAAGGGCAGAGAATGTTGCGAAAAATTTGCGGAGAATTTATATTTATAAATCAAAATAACGACCTGTTCTACTATTTACTATTATTTTTGTCGCAAATATTTTTTTTAAAAGTCTGTTGTACAATTGGCAACATCCTAACGGAGAACAGCTGTTCTCCGCTCTGCAACAACATCCCTCAACACGTGGTCCTTGTTTTATTAAAATTAAATTTGGTGAATCGTATGAATGTTGTCGTTATGGATATTACGGTCAGAACTTGTAAGATATTGTTAATTTCCTTTTGAATTTTCCATTTAGTCGTCTTTCTTGATGATAAAATGTTTGTTAAGGAATTTGGTGCCCCTCGTTCAGATTTAAGTAATTTATTAATTATTCGTGGTAAACCTACTCTCTAAAAAAATGAAGTGGCTGCTTTTTCACTTATACCATGGTTAACCATGGTATTTCTAACACTTAATAGCGAATTTTTATGTAAAATTGTCCCCTGAATCCGAAAATACCGTCAAAAATTATAAAAGTAGAGCAGTTTTTGAGATATAGTCAAATCCATATTATATGGATAATTTACTATATCTCAAAACCTGTTCTACTTTTATAACTTTTGACGACACTTTCGGGTTCAGGGGACAATTTTACATGGAAATGTTCGGGATTTAAAATACTATTGACGAGAATTAAGAGTGGCTGCTTTTTTGCTATGACAATTAGTCATTTTTGACTAATTCATTTTTAGAAAGTAGTCGTGCTTTTGTTAATACGTGGTATAAAAAATATTTAGACTAGGTGGCGACCAGCGACGTCCAGGGCACAGGGCTACAGGGCAAGTGCCCACCCTTAAAACTGAAGTGCCCACCCAGTTAGAGTATGAGCAAAGATTAAATATACTAGTATATTTAATCTTTGGTATGAGTATGAGTATAAGTATGAGTATAAGAGACTTATAACCAGCCCCATTTCCTCTTGACTCTCGAACCCCGTACAGGCCTATGTTTACTTACGCCGATTTTTGTTCTTTCCCAGCAACTGCACGGCTTCACCCGTGTTTGCTGGGTGCGAATGTCCATTGCGTTCCGTACTGTCCCCTATTTGGGGCTCGAGAGCGAGAGGCGAATAGTTTTAATAGCCATTCTCGGGTTCGCCGAGCCTATGCTATACGCACAGTGGGGTATGGAGGAGGGACGGGAGGGTGTGGGTTTTTGGGGGACAATTACGCCGACTTAAAACTAAGTACGACGCGGAATCCCCCTAGACCAGTTGATTAGTATTACTCCAAACATTTGGGATTACTATTTGGAGTTGGGGAGTTGTTATTTCGCTGCAGGGGTGTAGTTTCCTAGTCGAGGTCTTTGTCTTGTTCGTTATTGTCATAGTCCGTGTCCTGGTCAGATAGTTCCTGCACTTGGTAAA